ATGGGGGTCTATGGAAATTCCTCCTTTCTGCAGTCATCGCCTATCGGCCAATAGATGAACTGCAGTTTGTGGCACTGCCTTATTGGCGTCCCGGCTCTGCCCCAGTTTGCCGCTTGGTGCTTGTCACTACCCGATCCGTTCACCTGCCCGATCGGTACTGCGCATGTGCGAGATGGTCCGCCATATTGGACAACTCCGTACGGCAACCCAACTAGGACACTTGACACAGTGGCTTTTGGCAAAGCACACAAAAAAAACTCAAAAAACCGAGAGATGAGTTATTGTTATTACAACGTGACTTCACTATTATTTAACAACTATTTCTATTGGGTTCTTTTATTTGGGGTTAAGTACATTGTCAGAATAAGTGAGAAATGGATTTAACTTCTGTTTGACAGCTATCATACTGAATAAATATTTATGCAAAAACGTATGGCATTAATAATGTATATCTAATTACATTTAAAAATGTATGGCATTAATAATGTATATCTAATTACATTAACTGTGAATGTCTTTCATTTTATTTAAAATTAACAATTACATACAACATTTTCCATAAAAAAGTTGATTCAAGAACAAATCAGTACTTTTCTTATGACTATTATTGCTAAATTTGAAAGGTCTTTACCAGCTTTGGAATTATATATATATATATATATATATATATAGCACCTTCTGCCATCCCATCTCTACTGACAATCATTAACACTTAGATTTTATGATATCGTAAGCATCGTCAGTGATTGACTTGAACACTGAGAATGTATTTATTAACTTCAGACATTTTCATATACAAATGTGATCATACACCAACACACTTTTTAGAGATATACATTTTTCTGACTGGAGACCGGTCTCAACGCTGTGCGTGTCCGTCAGGAAACACGCTGTTTACAAGTAGTTCCAGCAAACATCCACTGATAAATTGCGATGCTAACAACCTCATGATAACCTCATATTTGTTTAACTTAGGATCGTATTATACCTGTGTTTAGTCTAGAAAAAGGTAAATGTGTGCATTTTATTATAAAGTTGTGTATATTTACAGATTGTTGCAAAAACTAAGAAGGTTAAAAAAAAATCAGGTTTAAAACTAAAAGAGCTTTACAAAAAATTACAACACAATTAAAGATGTTTGGAGTTTTATTTGTTATTAATTATAATGTTTTGTCTAAGAGATGCTGATTTGAAACTGTTGTTACATACAGTTACGGCATTTCCTGTTTCTGCCAGAGAGAGGGGAGTTTGTCCCAAAGCTTGCCGCTGTATTTACTCCCTCGATCTGACAGGAGGGAGCCTCATTAGGCGCTTTCACAACGCAGTACTTTTCCCACAAAGGTTCATCAGAACTTAGTTCAGGAGAACTCTTTAGTTCTCCTGAACTGAGTACAGATTGCGTTCACACCGGAATAAGTCCCTGGGGGAGGATTAGGCAAATGAAGCCGCTGACGTCACTTCTTCTTCTTCTTCTGCTTTGGGTTTACTGGCAGGCCGCAAACAACTTCACGGCGTATACTGCCACCCGAAGTCCCCGGCCGGAAGTCCCCGGAGTTGGGGACTGGCCAGTGTTAATTTTGACAGCTGTTTTTGATTTAGTCTTAGTCTTTAGACGAAAATGGTTATTAGTTTTAGTCACATTTTAGTCATTTCTATCCTTCATAGTTTTAGTCTAGTTTTAATCGACGAAAACTCAAAACGTGTTAGTCTAGTTTTAGTCGACGAAAACTCAAAACGTTTTAGTCTACTTTTAGTCGATGAAAAATTACATTTTAGTCAACTTTTAGTCAAAATGTTTTCTCTTTAAACCAATTCAGTTAGGCAAATACAGGTATCTGACATTGTAATCAAGGTGACAGCATCAAGTGTTGAAATTCGTAAAGCAACATTTCACTCTCTTAACACTTTACTTGTGTAATATCTAGGGATGGGTATCGTTAAGGTTTTCTACGGTACTACTAGTCTTATCAATACTGCTTATCGATCCGGTACTTTAACGGTATTCTTGTATTTACTTTTTGTTATTTTTTAAAGGAAAAAACTAACAAATTGTTAACCGAATTAATTGCTTTATTTAAATGTGAAATAAATGAAATATATATAATTATGTTAAAATATTGTACTGTACTTGAGTAAAATGTTGAGGTACTTGTACTTTACTGGAGTATTTAAATGTTTTGCTACTGTGTACTTCTACTCCACTACAGTTCATAGTTAAATGGTGTACTTCTACTCCATGTATTTAATACCTTTAGTTACTTCACAGATCTGGATGAATGATGTGAAATATAATCAAGTGTTAACTCAGACTTTGCTTGTTGCATTGCTGGAGAAGCCTGTGACATAAGATTTTCAACGACATAATTACTCTGTAGCTATGTCAGTTTGACAATAAAGAACCTTGAACCTTGAACCTTTAGTTCCACCTGGAGTTACCCTGCAGTATACAAAGTCCTTCAAACTAGCTGCACCTTTACCAGCTTTGAGAACACTTTCATGATCAATCATTATAAAACATATCATATATATTATTCTGAAATGGACCAATCTGCACAATGACTACTTTTACTGTCGCTACTTTAACTATATTTTGATGATCATACTTTGACTTGAGGAACTCTTTCTACACTATGGTATTTTTTTACTTAGCTACAAGATCTGAGTACTTCGCCCACCTCTGCGCTCTGCGCACCTGATGTGATAACGTTACTCGTAATTGGGGCAACAGAGCTACGAGTTAAGGAAGTCGAAAATTGTGCATTTCTCCGATTGAATATGACGCCTTTTGGCCGGCTGTTTGGACAGACTACTCTACTCGTGTCAACGCGGTAACGCGAAAACATGGCAAACGAGCTTTTTCCACATCGAGCCTTGTAGAGTGTCTCTATACTCTCTGAACGCTCCGTCCCCGGCAGATCTCTGTGTGCCGCTGCAGCGTGTCTGTTAGGCCCCGCCCCCCGCACACAGAGAGAGAGGGAGATCGCTCTTCTGGAGTGAAGAGAGCGGAAATAATGATATTGCAAGTTAGAAATGTAAGATGCATTTTGACAGACAAGACGGGCAATTGGGGGGAAATACCCTGCATTTTGAATGTCCGATAGTCCACCATTAACACCTTAGTCCCGTCTCGTCTCGTCAACGAAAACTAAATATAAATTTCGTCAAATTTTCGTTATCAAGAATCTATTTTTAGCTCGTCATCGTCTCGTCTTAGTCGTGTAAAAAAGGTTGTTGACGAACATTTTTCGTCATAGTTTTCGTTGACGAAATTAACACTGGGACTGGCTTCAGTAGAAGCTGCTGGGACAAATTGCCAGAACGCCGACACCTCCTCATCTCCACCGCTCCGATGCTTTCTTTTGTGTTGCCATAAGTTAGTCTCTCTGCATTTGTGCGCTGGGCTAATGCTAATGCTAATAATGCTAATGCGAGGATAATAAAATGGCAGCTTCACAAAACTTTTTGGGAGTTTTACGGGGCGTGGTTTGCATTCCGCCCAGCCAATCAGACATAGGAACCTTTTTCTCCCACAAAAGTCCCTGTTCTCTAGCAGGGACGGAAAAGGGGGTAAAAAGGTTCTCATGAACTAATTTTAGTTCCAGATTTTTTTGGTGTGAACGCAACATTTCGGAACTATATCGAAACTAAAGTGGGAAAAGTACTGCGGTGTGAACGTACCTATTGAGCTGAGAGTTTCACTTCACGGAATTCATAATATTATAATTATAAAAATTGAGAAAATCAATAACAAATCAATACATTCATACATTCAGGAAATACATTCAGCAATGGAAATGACCAATTGAATGCATGAGTCTCATCACTGGATTATTAGTGACTGCAATGAGCTTGTTTTGAACCACACATCTTTTCAAAACGCGGTTGCAGGCTTGATAATGCCACTCTCAAGCTGGGCTCAATGTTGAGCCTAGATCTGTATTTGGTTTTTAGTGTTGCAACAGCTGAAAAACTCATTTCACAGAGATAAAATGAGGCGAAGGGAAGAAGAATGTGCACAGCTCTCTGCCCCATTACTGGATACTCCCTCTCCACTCCAAGCCAGAATTCAAGTTCATTTGGTTTCAGTTGTGTGTGTGTGAGCAGGCTCGGATTGGCCACCGGGAGATTCGGGACTTTTCCTGTGGGCCGCTGCCGTTGGTGGGTTGCTGCCTTTGGTGGGCCGCTGGCTCTGGCATAGGTGGGCCGTGGACTTTCACAGCGCCGGTGCGCCGGTACCGCCGCCGCAAACGGCGCTGTGAAAGTCCACCGCCGTTGCGAGTCTCCGGCTGTAACTCCACTATCGCCCGCGAGGACCCAGGTTCGATTCCGGCCTGAGGTCCAAAAAATGTATAAAAAAATAATCTCCCGTTCATCACGTGCATTCGCGACCCACCTATCACATCTCTGCGCCCCGCGGGCCCCACACTTTGAGAAACGCTGCCCTAGACGAACCGTCCATACGATAGAGAACTGTAGCGGATACAACCCGTTTCGTCTCTGTGTAAACGTGGCCTTAAAGGAAACAGCAGCAAGGAAATTAGTCAGAACTGTGCTGTTCACTTTTTATGTTCAGTTTGTAAATGGAATGTGACAAAAGAGAAACAGGAACTGTGGTTCATATGAAAACACAAAAAAAGTGAAAACATGATTTGGGATTTAATTGAAAACGATTGTAAGAAAACATTGTAATAAAGGCACTATCAGCTCTGCCCCTCCCCTGTAAACCCTGCACTCAAATTATTCTGAAGACCCTCTCCTTATTATTACCGTCTCCTGCTCCTTACAGGCTCCATATCAGACATGACATCATCTGTGTAATAAAAGACTGGTATGTGTTAAACGTGTCTTCAAATTGAGAACATCTCTGAGGAATAAAGAGAAATACTCGTCACGCACCAAAGGATGCAATGGTCCAGTCTTATTTGTCACCATTTGGTCCAAAAACATGTTTCTTGCATGTTAATACTATATATATATATATATATATATATATATATATATATATATATATATATACACACAACCGCAGCTTGGATTATTTTTTACAGTTTTAAGAATGTGTGCACGGAAAATGTTTGTAAAAATTAATACAGATCGGTTTCTTTCTCAAAGCAGTCAGAAATGGTTTTAAACTAGTTGAGGAATGCTGCTTTTATCTTGACGCTCCACTTTTAAAAAGCCAAACGAACTTGATGAGTGTTTGGGTTTGGAGATGATCAGATCCAGTAATTATTTCCCCTGCTCTTGATTTAAACTCTTTCTCACCGTTCACACGCAGTTTGTATCCACGTTACGTTCTCTCAAACTGCAGCAATACAAAATAAGATTCCTCATACAAAGTCCACTGAATGAGACACATCCACCAGCATCATGTGATAGACCTCCTCCCAGTGTAAAGACTTTGGGGTCAGTGTTTCCACCAGACCAGGGCTGAGAGGGCGGTTGAATTGAGCCGTCCCTTATAGATACTAACTCTTTACGTTAGTGAGCCATTTGACTCGGCTCTCTTCATGTTACCACAGTTTCTAGCACCCTGAATAATGGCGTCAAATGACGGCAAGACGCCCCCCTGGCGGAAATGCTGTTTGAGGTAGTGGAAAGCCCCCGTGCGCGTGCCCCCCCCCCCCCCTCTTCCTCCGGCTTTTAGCTGACTTTGGGGTAGATCTTCTCGTAGAAGAAGCTCTGAGCCAGGACGTACAGCTCTCCGTCTTTCTCCCTGACGGCGTGAGCGCGCACAAACTGAAACTGTTCCAGTGCAAACTCGTAAAACTCATTTTCCATTTTCCAGATGTCCGACTGCTGCAGCTTGGCGATCGTCTCTTTGCTGGGGGGCTTCTTTTCAGTGGTCTTTCGCAGATGGGACTTCTTGCCTGGAGGAACAGGAGGAGGGTTGATGTCAGATAAAAAAAGATCAGTAACATCCAAGCATATATGCTTTTATTCTTACAAAGCCAGAGTAAACTGAAGCACGGCTTCACGTCACCCCCCCCCTCCAGAGAGCGTGGCTGAGTGTTTGCTGCTGTGGTTCAGCAGATGTGCCCCCCGCTGGAGGCTCGTCTACGGCCTTTAGTCTACCGTCTTTCACTGTCTGACTGTCACACAATAAATGCTACGTCCCTGATGCATATTTCCCTATAAGTACAAATGTTTCAGCTTTAAAAGACAATGTCTGACAACATAGCATTGTTATCAAAGTTTATATAGTATTAAATAGGTGATGTTAGCATAGCCACCTAAGCTAATCTGACTACTTGTTATTACTTTTTGGCATAAGCGGTTTTCTTCAGACATATTTTGCAGACTTATTTTTCATTATGATCGTACTTGTGATAGTCTGACATGATTACACCGGATAGCTGTTATAAACAAACACAGAAAAATGTGCGCTGCTCTCCAAAATGAGAAATGAAAGCGAAGCCGTGGTCATTCAAAGTATGGTTAAAAGAAAAAGAGTGTCTCACGTATGCCTGGTTTATTTTGCGTGACTTTATATGCGCGTGTTATATAAGTGTGTGGTCGCCTTCTTGTCACTTTGCAAGCCGAGCACGACTGCTTGTTACAACTTTCTTCTCTTGGCCGTATTCTCCATGAACTGTTTTTGCTCAGGTTAATCTGACCCAGCCTCCGACATTACTCTCTTATGTATGCGGTTCTTGGTTCTTCCCCAGCAGGTTGTTCTAAATACCAACAGGTTTTCCGGGCCGAGAGCCAGCACCGCTGCGTTGGAAACAGAAGAACTGCTTCGCAATCGGCACCAGCTCCGAACTGGCCTGGTACCGCTTTGGTGGAAAAGGGGTTCACCAAATTCTGAACAGTTCGTCCTGGAGTCCATGTGGACTTTTGTACCAAAGATAGTGAAATGAACCTCAAGGCGTTTCTGAGATAATGCATTCAGGAGAATGTTACAAACCTAAAGTCATTATGACCTTTGAGCAACAAAATTAATTGACAAAATTCCCTCAAGGCGTTTCTGTAATATCACGTTCACAAGAAAGGGATGTAGTGAAGAACGTACAGATCTGATAACATGCCTGCAGCCAAGGCTTTGGCCTTCGTGGAGGCATCAAAATGTTGGATAAGCGAGGCTGTGTGTGGGGTGTGTGTGTGTGGGGTGTGTGTTGCCCCTTTCACACCAACGCGGTTCCCGTTCTATTTTTCATTATGATTCTACTTGTGATAGTCGGACATGACAACCTGTGCAGCCCATGTATTGATTCATGATGCGCCGGTGAAGATGGCCGCATCGTCTTCGTGCTCCTCTCCAACTTTGCCCATTTTCGTATTTTGTACATATTTCTTTTACTTTTGCCGTTTTACTTTTAACATGGTTCGCAACATGCTAGCCGACCGCACCTACTCTGCCATACAATATAGCAGAGAGGAACTTCTCCAATTGCGAAACTTCGTGGACAATATTAACCCTCCGACAGACAATGGAGATTCACCATGGCTACCTGTTGCTGTTCTACCTGAGAGACGCAAGAAGAAGACAAAGCGAGGATGCCGGGCCGGGTTGCTGGTCAGACTAAGAAAACGTGAGAATCGGCCCCCTCTTCCGAGTATTCTTCTGGCTAATGTTCAATCCATTGAAAATAAGCTAGATGAACTCAGAAGCCGGATTGCTTTTCAACGGGACATTAAGAACTGTAACGTGTTAATTCTCACTGAGACTTGGCTCAACCCCGCTATCCCGGACTCCGCTATTGTCCCTGACGGATTCTCTATTTTTCGTCAGGACCGGACTGCAAACTCGGGGAAAAGTAAGGGAGGCGGTGTGTGTGTAATGACTAACAACAACTGGTGCTCAGATGTGAAGATTATTTCATCGGACTGTTCCGCACAGCTAGAGCACCTCATGATCTCATGTCGGGCCTTCCATCTGCCGAGGGAATTCACATCTGTTGTGATAACAGCAGTGTATATCCCGCCGCAGCCACTCGCCGACAACAACACGGCACTCGATCAGCTGTTTGGGTTTATTGATAAAACCGAGACTTCACGGCCAGATGCGGCGTTCGTTGTGGCCGGAGATTTCAACACCGCCAACATGAAGAAGGTTTTGCCAAAATATTACCAACACATCAACTTCCCGACGCGCGGGGGAAACATACTGGACCATGTTTATTCCCCTTTCCGGAATGGATATAAGGCTCTCCCTCGCCCTCCCTTCGGCAAATCAGACCATATCTCACTACTGTTGTTGCCTGCTTACAAGCAGAAACTTAAAAGGGACAGACCGATAACAAGGACAGTACAACGATGGAGCGAGGAGTCAGATTCAGCACTGCAGGATTGCTTTGCATCCACGGATTGGAGTGTGTTTGAGGACAATAACATCAACACACACACGGACACTGTCATCTGCTACATTGGGAAATGCATCGATGACGTGGTACCGAAGGTTTCTGTACGGACATTCCCAAATCAAAAGCCCTGGGTAAACGGTGAGGTGCGCGGCAAACTGAAAGCGCGCACTCTCGCGCACACAGCGGGAGATTTGGAGGAGTACAGGAAGTCTAGGTATGATCTCCGGAGAGCAATAAAAAATGCAAAGAGACAGTACAAAGAGAAGGTGGAATCTGACTTCAAAGGCTGTAACACTAGGAATATGTGGGCGGGACTAAGGACAATGACTGACTACAAAGGAGCAGCGGGGGGTGCTGCGGGAGTGTCTGCGTGCGCATCTCTCCCAGATGAGCTAAATAGTTTTTTTGCACGCTTTGAGAGCAGCCAGGCTGTGGAGGTACAGAGGGACCAGGAGCTACACTGCCCTTTTGTTTTAAATAGGGCAGATGTGTGTAAATCCTTTAAAAGGGTTAACCCACACAAGGCTCCTGGACCTGATGGCATCCCTGGCCGTGTTCTCAGGGTGTGTGCAGTTCAGCTGGCAGAGGTGTTCACAGACATCTTCAACAGGTCCCTGCTGCAGTCTGTAGTCCCCACATGTCTTAAACACTCCACCATCATTCCTGTCCCCAAAAAGACAATCATCACCTGCCCCAACGACTACCGCCCAGTAGCACTCACCTCCATCATAATGAAGTGCTTTGAGCGGTTAGTCAAATTATTCATCACCTCCTCCCTCCCTGAATCTCTGGACCCCCTGCAGTTTGCCTACAGAGCAAACAGGTCCACAGACGACGCCATAGCCCTCACCCTCCACACTGCCCTCTCACACCTGGACCCGAAGAACAGGAACACATATGTGAGAATGCTGTTCATTGACTACAGTTCAGCATTCAACACCATTGTGCCCTCCAAGCTGGCCATCAAGCTCAGAGACCTCGGGCTCAACAGCGCCCTCTGCGACTGGATCCTGAACTTCCTGACGGGCAGACCCCAGGCAGTGCGGGTGGGAAACATCACATCCTCCACCCTGATTCTTAACACCGGTGCCCCTCAAGGCTGCGTGCTCAGCCCTCTCCTCTACTCCCTGTTCACCCACGACTGCGTGGCCACACACAGCTCCAACACCATCGTGAAGTTTGCTGATGACACGACCGTCATCGGCCAGATCACAGGCGATGACGAGACGGCATACAGAGAGGAGGTCGAAAACCTGACATCTTGGTGCCAGGAGAACAACCTCCATCTCAACATCAGCAAAACAAAGGAGCTGATTGTGGATTACAGGAAGCAGCAGGGAGAGGGACACGCCCCCATCGCCATCAATGGGACTACGGTGGAGAGAGTCAAAAGCTTCAGGTTCCTTGGGGTCCACATCACTGAGGACCTGACATGGTCTCTTCACACCACCACCATCACCAAGAAAGCTCGACAGCGGCTCTTCTTCCTCCGCAGGCTGAGGAGGTTCAAAATGGATTCCAGGATACTCTGCAACTTCTACAGGTGCACGATAGAGAGTATCCTCACTGGCAGCATGACGGCCTGGTACGGCAGCTGCACCGACCTCGATCGTAAGGCTTTACAGAGGGTGGTGAAAACTGCACAGCACATCACCAGGACGGAGCTGCCATCCATGGAGGACCTTTACTCCCAGCGGCTCAGGAAGAAATCACTACGGATTATCAAAGACCCCCATCACCCCAGCCACAAACTGTTCTTTCTGTTGCCGTCTGGCAGACGTTACCGCAGCATCCGGGCAAGGACAAGAAGATTCGGAGACAGTTTCTTCCCGCGGGCAGTGAGACTGTTAAACAATTGAACTGTTGAAACAACATCAAACATTCAACTGCTACTCAGTAGTATGTATCTAATACCTAATATATATATATCATTCCAATAACTTGTATATAGACTCATACTGCACTATTCCACATCATAACTTTATTTCATTTTTATAACTATTATTATTTTTGTATTGCTCTTGCTCTTATTGTTATTATGTTATGTTATTATGTTGCATTGTTGGAGAAGCCTGTGACATAAGATTTTCAACTGCATAATTACTCTGTAGCTATGTCAGATTGACAATAAAGAACCTTGAACCTTGAACCTTGAACCTTGATTCCATCCGATAGCTGCTATAATACAAAACGTCTGCCTGCTTTCCACAATGATCAATAGGCGCTTTCACACCAAGTACTTTGCCGTGCTTAGTTCATCAGAACTTAGTTCATCAGAACTCTTTAGTTCTGATTAACTAAAAAGCAGATCGAGTTCACACCGGAATAAGTCCCTGAGGGAGGATTAGGCAAATGAAGCCGCTGACGTCACTTCTTCTTCTTCTTCTGCTTCGGGTTTACTGGCAGGCCGCAAACAACTTCATGGCGTATACTGCCACCCGAAGTCCCCGGCCGGAAGTCCCCGGAGTTGGGGACTGGCTTCAGTAGAAGCTGCTAGGAGTCTTCCCAGCAGCTTCTGAAGCCTTCCGAGTAAATCGCCAGAAACGCCGACTAGTGTTAATTTCGTCAGCTATTTTTTAAATTTAGTTTTAGTCTTAGTCCTGTGTTAAATTTCCTTTTTAGTTTTAGTCATATTTAGTCACCTTCATCCTGTTTTTATTTAGTCAAGTTTTAGTCGACTAAAAGTCTGGGCATTTTAGTCTTATTTTAGTCAAAGAAAACTAATTATTTTAGTCTACTTTTTGTCAGTCTGTACTCAACTCGTCACTCACTCGCGCTGACGGGGGGGGGGGGGGGGGGGGGGGGGTACTCGGTTAACGCGACCACTGCTCCCAAGCCCTGTTGTTGCCATTTTATTTTTATTTTAAATAAGGTTAGTTAGACCATGAGTTAGAGTCTTCCTGACAGTTCACAGTGTGCCGCTGGCCCGGTGTAATTCAAATGTACCGCCGCGCGCAGCACAGACACACAGCTGCTGCCCAGCCGCAGCACCGGAAATGGAACTGATGGGAGAAAAACTGACTATCAGATGTAACGTTATCTTTGATAATATTTTGTCTCCTCATTTTTCATCAACGAAAGTAAAGAGAGATTTTGGCATAGTTTTTATTTAGTAAACTACATTTTCGTCTCGTCACTTTTCGTCAATGATATATTGCATGTTGATTTCGTTACAGTTATTGTTTACTGCCGTCGGTGCCGTCTCGTCATCGTCTCGTTTTAGTCATGGAAAAAAAGGTTGTTGACGAACATATTTCATCATAGTTTTAGTCAACGAAATGAACACTAACGCCGACACCTCCTCATCTCCACCGCTCCCATGTTTTCTTTTGTGTTGCCATAAGTTAGTCTCTCTCCGTTTGTGCGCTGGGCTAATGCTAATGCTAATAATGCTAATGCGAGGAAAATGAAATGGTGGCTTCACAAAACTTTTTGGGAGTTTTACGGGGCTTGGATTGCAATCCGCCCAGCCAATCAGAAATGGGAACCTTTTTCTCTTATGAAAGTACCTGCTCTCTAGCAGGGACTGAAAAGGTTCTCATGAACTAAGTTCTAGTTCAATTTTTTTTTTGTGTGAACGCACATTTTCGGAACTATACTGGGAGAAGTACTCCGGTGTGAAAGCGCCTAATGATAGCGAACAGATGGTCAAAGTAAGGTACAAATAAACAGAATCACACTAAGCCTGGTTAGTGTTGCCTGACTTTATAAAGTGTGTTTTTGCGTTCTAGACACTTTGCTCAGCGCTACTGCTTGTTACAACTTTTATTTGCCGTACTCGCCTAAACTGTTATTGCTCAGGTTGATCCCGCCCCTGCCCCCGCCTCCAACGTATGCGGTTTTTGCTTCTAGACCGACAATTTTTTGGAACTTGGTAAGAACCGGTTTTCGGGGAAAAGAGCCGGCTCCGCTGCGGTGTGAACAGGAAAAACCGGTGCTTATCAGGCTCAAGCTCCGAACCGGCCCTGGAACCGCGTTGGTGTGAAAGGGGCATGTGAGGTGTGTGTGGGGTGTGGGGGGGTGTGTGTGAGGTGTGTGTGGGGTGTGTGTGAGGTGTGTGTGGGGTGTGTGTGAGGTGTGTGTGGGGTGTGTGTGGGGTGTGTGTGAGGTGTGTGTGGGGTGTGTGTGTGGGGTGTGTGTGAGGTGTGTGTGAAGTATGTGAGCTGCTACCTGTTCTGTAGAGCTCCGTGGCTCCCTTGAAGAAGCGAGGCAGCGCGGCCTCCAGGATCATGATGAAGTCCTCCAGCTCCTCAGTGACCCCCACCAGCAGGTACTCGTTCACCAGGTTGTACTTGGCCTGCTCCAGGGCCCATCTACTGCCGGCATCCCTGCAACAACAGCATAACATCTCTAACTCTGCAGGGAGAAGTCAATGATTCGCTGCTGAGAAATACTGCAATTTCTGTTTCTATATTTGTGGTAAGAGAAATCACGATCTTACGTTGATTATGCATTCACTGAATCAAATATAGTGTAATGCAGATGCTCAGCATCTCTTTATTTACATTCAGTAAAGCAGCTGTACCTTCATTTCATAATGGTGTTTTAAATCACTATGGAAACAATGTGATGGGTGTTGCTCATTTTAAGAACTTTAAAGAGAACTATAAGGGAGCGCAGACTTGTGTAAAGACCATCCACTATCGTAATGCTAGAGGGATCTCTAACTTGGATCTGCAGCTTAACAGAGCTTTATAATAAGTTTGGCCAACAGCTGTTGACAGTTCTAAATTAATGATAATGCTGTACCTGCATCAACTGTGAATGTACAGAGATAGCAGTGGTAATTAACAGCCTCTTACCTAAACACTTACTTGCAGGTTGTTAAAAACACCTTGATTGTTTTATTTTTAAATCTCAGGCTTGCATTTGGAAAATAGCAAACAATAAAGTTGACAATTATTTTTTCCGCTGTAATGCACAGCATCAAACTAACATTCTGTCACTCACCAGCACTCTGAATGGTGTCCGCAGAAGAAGGGGATCTGCAGCCACAGCTTCTCAGGAGCACAGTCCGACCCCCCCGATGACACACACTCATCAAAGGTCTGAGAAACAACACAAACACATTCTATCAATGATTCTGTGCAGTCTAGCAAAGGGTCATGGGAAAAACAAGCTTATTTAAGTTATGGAGTGTGCACACCCAACAAGCAGTTTTTGTGAGGGTAAAAATGTAAAACCTTGTGAAAAACATTCTTCTGATGCTGCATCGTGAAAGCCTTTGACAGCCTAATGTCAATGAATCCGAAACGGAAGAACATTTGATTTTAGCAGTCTGTGGACACCTGTCATCAATAATAAACATCCTACATGTAGTTTACATTATTTTAAAGACACACAGTATGTGTAAATTACTGAGACATGACTGAGACAAAACAAGTGGAATGTATCGTGGCTCGTGTTGTGTGAGAGAGACTGAAAGAGAAGGTGGACTATTGCATTCAATGTTTATGTAAATTATTAATAACTTACTTAGGTTGCTGCTTTGTCACTTTTTGTAAACTGCTGACCCGTGGGTCAAACCGCTAAAATTCACAGGGCATAAACAATAATTCCGGTATTTATGCCTAATTTAAGATGAGTCAGTTTGGGTGTTGATTGCACAGCTACAATTTAAGCATAGCCCTAACTGAATTCAGAATACGAGCATTTTAAAATGTTGTCGTCTTGCGGACAGACCTTATGAAGCATGATTCAGGAGTTTTTACAAACATGCATCATAATAGTAGTTATTTCGGCATCTTTTTCATCAATTTATTGCAAATTCCATCGCACAAAATATATTTATCTTGGATCCAAAGTACTGTATTGAAATATATTCATCCATATATACATCCATACGCAAATAATCAGAAATAATCCCATGCCAAACTCTGAAGAGCTCTAAATAAACACCTTTTTGTCTCCTTGTTTCCTTCGTCGCAGCCCGGGTCTGTAGTTGTCTCCAAAGCGCAGGAAGTAGTAATATGACACCAGGCGCTCGATGGGATCCCGCACCACGTTAATATACATTGGCTTACCCTGCACTCCATATCTAAAGAAAAATAAAAGGGGTTAACACTTTATTTGTATTGAACAGACACTTCAGGATTTCAAGCCTAAAAGACATCACATCATGAAACTGCCGCCTAATTTATTCTGCTTATTGCACTGAAGAAAGGCTTTTCCATCAGTGGAGCTACCAGACTCTCTCCTGCACCATTAGGATAATTACCTGTGATCACTGCAATGATAGTGTCAGGGAGATAAGGACAACAATGCTATTAATCAACACTAAAGCACACGTTAGCAATCAATACATGACCTCCCTTTTATCTGCTCTGCTAACTGTTGTAACTAATCTGGATATTAATGCTATTACAGGAAATGAAGGGCTTTACTTGGAGAAGTCCAGATAAGCTACATGGCCGTGGTAGAAGCCTGGCTTCATCTCTCTCCAGGAGGTGACGTTCCTGACAAAGCGCACCTGTTCACAAAGATAATGGGAAATAATTACAGAGCAGCAGGGAGAAAAGCTAATAAAAACAGCAAGAACAGAGCACAAACACAGGGACGGGAAAAAAGGCTGACTGTTCTGAACCAGGGATGCAAACTCATCAGGTATGAAAAAGGTGACAAGGATCCGAGCCCCCCGACCCCACGGAATATCGGCTTTAAAATGAGGAATAACAGATGATTTTAGCAGTCAGAACAAGTAAAGCAGTTAATAATAACAGAAACGCCAAAGAGTCACATCTAATAGAAATGTATAAAAGCATTTATTTTAATTGTGTAGCAGTCAGTTTATAATTTTGGCAGCACTGTTGAGCATTTTGAAAATGTATTTTCATGCCTCTGTGCAAGGCTTAGTCTTTCTGTCTTTATTCTGCCAGTGGTGTAAAGTAACTAAGTTCATAAACTCAACAAGTACTATACTTGGGTAGTATAATTGGGTAATTTGGAGATACTTGTACTTTACTTAAGTATTTCAATGTGTTGCTACTTTGTTCTTCTACTCCTCTACAATTCAGAGGTAAAAGGTGTACTTTTACTCCACTACATGTATTTAATACCTTTAGTTACTTTACTGATCTGGATGAATGATGTGAAATATAATCAAGTGTTAAATCAGACTTTAGTTCCACCTGGAGTAAATTCACAAGCTACCCTGCAGTATACAAAGTCATTCAAACTAGCTGCACCTTTACCAGCTTTGAGAACACTTTCATGATCAATCATTATAAAACATATCATATACAGATGGAGCCTCTTATTTTGGACCCCAGCATACAGCTTCCTGCCTACTGCCAGCCAGTTGCCTGCCTAAGACCTGCCAAAGACCAGTATTCAGGAATGTTAGGCCCTCCCACTATTCTCCAATTTCAGGGTTTAACCAGGAGATGGCGCTATATATTAAATAACTATGGCCAAACTAAGACTTAGTTTTTCACAAGAGACAATGCAGATATTATATAAAAAACTAAAGTTAAAATCTTGTTTTTAATGCCCCAAGAGCAATAACATCTTGTCACAAGCTTTTTGGAAGAAAAAGACTTCAAGAGACCTGTAGTTGACTAATTACAGGCCTCAATAAAGTTCTGCCATTGGTTGTGAAAAACAACGGTGGACATAGTGGAAAGTGAAATTGAGATTGTCAAATTTAATAAAAATACAAAATAATGTATCTGTGTACGTGTTTTACTATGTGATCTGCATGCACTTATCAAACATCTAATTAAAGAATGGGGAGGAGCAAAAAACACACACTTCAAGTCAGATCATCACCCTTAGCTATTTCAATTACCTCTCAAACAACCTAAACTAGTTATAAATGTTTATTTTAAATAAAGTCTTTATGACTCGGAATATGAATAACATGGGTCCGTTACAGTTTGTTTTCATCTGATTTCAAATAAACAAAGTCTTGGCTTTCAGAATATTAAACTTGTTTTGGCAAATTTAGATGATAAATACAACTATGAAGCCGACCCCCCTCTGAGTGAATACCTGTTAACTTAATTGTTAACACAATAAAAATGATAACAAGAAAAGTTCATGTTTTATCAAGATGATGGGTTTCCCTAACGCTCAGAGTCGCAACGACTAATTACAGGCCTCAATAAAGTTCTGCCATTGGTTGTGAAAAACAACGGTGGACATAGTGGAAAGTGAAATTGACATTGTCGAATTTAATAAAAATACAAAATAATGTATCTGTGCACGTGTTTTATGTGATCTGCATGCACTTATCAAACATCTAATTAAAGAATGGTAGCTGTACCTCTCAAACAACCTAAACTAGTTATAAATGTTTATTTTAAATAAAGTCTTTATGACTCGGAATATGAATAAAATGGGTCCGTTACAGTTTGTTTTCATCTGATTTCAAATAAACAAAGTCTTGGCTTTCAGAATATTAAACTTGTTTCGGCAAATTTAGATGATAAACTTTAAACTTTCACACACGTTGACCGGCGAAAAACTCTGCCCGGTTCACCGACCCCCCTCTGAGTGAATACCCAAGATATCTTGGTTTGATTTGGAGAAGGCTTTTAAAGTATACTAACTCTAACTCTATTGTATACTAACTCTTCCCGTCAAGAATATGAATAGAACTTAGATAGATCACTTTACATTTCTGCGAATGAATAGCTTAGCTACTTGGCACTAATGCCCCTTTCACACCGGCGCTTTTCCAGCTCCTGCTGGGAGCTAGAGCCTGAAAAGCGCCGGTTTTTCCTGTTCACACCGCAGCTGCGGCGCGTCATAGCTCCGGAATGCGGTTCACTTCCAGCTCCAAAAAATTGTCGGTCCAGAGGCAAGAGCTTCGGAGCTATGACGCGGCGTCGCTTACGTCTCTTACGTCGAGGCGTGCAGGAAACCTTACTTTGACCATCCGTTCGCTGTTATTGATCATTGTGGAGATACATGGGCTATACAGGTTGTCATGTCCGACTATCAGAAGTAGAATCATAATGAAAAATACGCCGGTAAAATGTGCCTATAGAAAACGGCTTAGCAAGTAGTCAGTTTAGCTTCGGTTGCTATGCTAACATCACCCATGTTATACCAGAGAAACTTTCATAACAGCGTTGTGATGCCAAACAGCGTCAATTCAGACTGACACACATGCACTTAAGGGGAACTGGGGATATGTATCAGCTGCTTGTGTGACAGTCAGACAGTGAATACTTTAGAGCCGTGTGAGCTAACCCGGAGCTAACAGGACAATAAACTCCCGTGGAAGTGCAGCCACTGCAGCGGTCGGTAAATGCCGCTGAAACACATTAATAAACAATGAACCACGGCACTCTGGAGAAAAGTATAAGGTTGGAGAAGTCGTTATTTAATTTAATCTGGCTTCGTATGATTAAAAGCAACACGACCCGATGCAGTCCCCGGCCCGTTGTTGTTGTGGGAGAAAATCAGCGACGTAAACTGTGACGTCATGACGCAGCAGCGGCAGCTCTGGGCAGTGTGAACAGAGCGGGAGCTGAAAAGGGAAACGGGAGCTGAACCAGAAAAGCTCTCGCGAGGAGCTAGAAAGTGAAAAGCGCCGGTGTGAAAGCCGCATAAGAGTACAGATATGTCTACCCTTTCTTTTCAGAGTGTAATATCTGCATTTTCTCTTTTGGTTTGAATAGGAGAAGGACAATGGTTATCGATGGTGCTTTTAATGCCTATTGTATACGAACTGTGTGATTTATATTGCTTTTCAAATGCATACAAGCCCCCCATTTACACTGCACTTCCCCGTCAAGAAAATGAATAGCACTTAGTTAGATTACAGATCAGGTTGGACCAGCCCTGTCGCTACTCTCTGCATTTCCTACTGCAGATAAAAAAAAAGCTACAAATATGTATTTCTTAATAAACTAAATAGGCCACCATTGGTAGCAGTTCTCATTATATACTTCTCAGTAACTGCTCCCCTTAAATTAAATGTGTTCTGTAGATAAATGTAAACGTTCACCATCCCCCACCCGCCCACTGTTTGTTGCTTTTTGACATGTAAATGGGTAACTACCCCCCTCTGAGTGAATACCTGTTGTACCTGTCCGGGGCTAAGCCCATAGGACGATGCTCTGATGTAATCACCCTCGCACATTGGTCATATGTTTATGAGATCACTGTGATTCACTTCTCCGCGGCTCCTCCGTGCAGAGAGGCCCCCCCCCGTTGACAATTCACGAGCGTCTAACTCTCTCCCCCCTCCCACCTTCTAACATAACCCCCCCCCCATATCTGGATTTGGCCCACAGACCTAGAGAGTAGCAAAATACAGTGAGTCCTAAACACAAGTAGTCAGGGTTCATTTATAACGCTTATTTTGATTTATTTTTCTCAAATGATGCTGTATGTTTCACTTTCTGAAAGCGTTAGAATCGCACATGAAAAATATTGAAAGCTGCCAGCTGCCCTCGGCCATGTCTTTGGCGGTGATCCAAGCTTCGGTACCACAGTGGATAAAGTTAGTAATACATTTATAGGCTACTGATCAAATGTCAATACATTACATAAGTCTTATTCTCATTCATACTTAATTTATTTCTTCTTCTGTCAGTATGAACACAAAAAACTAACCGGTATTACATTTCATTCTAAAGTTTACGGTCTAAAAGGTATTTAAAACAGATAATTTGTCGTTGCTTTTGGCATAAGCAGTCAGAGGAAACATAACGTTCTCAGTAAGATTCACGAGCGTCTAACTCTCTCCCCCCTCCCCCGTCGCACCACATTAGACAGAATGGCAAGGGGCTGCTTTTGAACTTTTCGTGAAGATGGCCTTATTCATTTTTAATACAACTGAGATGTTGGGAATCTACTTGACACAGTGGCTTTTGGCAAAGCACACAAAGAAAACAAAAAAAACCGAGAGAGATGAGTTATTGTTATTACAACGTGACTTCACTATTATTTAACAACTATTTTTATTGGGTTCTTTTATTTGGGGTTAAGTACATTGTCAGAATAAGTGAGAAATGGATTTAACTTCTGTTAGACAGCTATCATACTGAATAAATATTTATGCAAAAATGTATGGCATTAATAATGTATATCTAATTACATTTAAAAATGTATGGCATTAATAATGTATATCTAATTACATTAACTGTGAATGTCTTTCATTTTATTTAAAATGAAATCAAATTACATAAAACATTTTCCATAAAAAAGTTGATTCAAGAACAAATCAGTACTTTTCTTATATGACTATTATTGCTAAATTTGAAAGGTCTTTACCAGCTTTGGAATTATATATATATATATATATATATATAGCACCTTCTGCCATCCCATCTCTACTGACAATCATTAACACTTAGATTTTATGATATCGTAAGCATCTTCAGTGATTGACTTAAACATTGAGAATGTATTTATTAACTTCTGACATTTTCATATACAAATGTGATCATACACCAACACACTTTTTTTAATTGAGTTGTGCAACATGGCGGACCATCTCGCACATGCGCACATGCA